GTATAGCCATCATTTTACTTGTAAAAACATCTACTTGTATTCAGGACGAACATGTTGACCCAAGGGTGAGCTTTCTAAAGAATATCCTTGCGTGGGCTTAAAGATACCTTCTCCGTTCCTTCAGCACAGTCACGGAGAAAGCATTTGCTGTGGTGGCCTTTGAAAAAATTGGATGAGCTTTATGTTTGACCCTCAGGCATCACACATGTTAGAGGACCTTGAATTTTGTGCTTGACTTTCATCCGAAAGAGTCAGAGGTTTTGGGTCAAAGTTTAAAAATGCATAAAGTTTATTTTTTTCTCATCTTTGCATTGAGCATGGTGATAGGAGTAAGTTAAATTGTGTACTAGAGGAAAGTTAGGTGATGGGTATTCACAGATGAAGGACCCTGACCGTTTTCAAGGGCAGAAAGCTACTTTGCTGATGAAGTGTTGTAGATGGTGGCATGTTCCTTCATTTGTCTTGCTCATTAACCTCTTTCTAGGTCTAATGATTTTTCTTTGATCATTTGCCTTGTTCCTGAGATTGCCTTTGACCAGATCTATCCCTCATATTGACTATCTTTGAGATTTCTGTTTACGGTTTATTTACTTTGCCCCGTTTTGTGTCTGTGCCTTCTAGTTTACCACATTACTGGCATTTCTGCCACGATTTGTAATTACACTTCTGACTGCTCATTTTCCTCGGCTTGCTCTATGGGCTTGGTGGGCCCCAGTTCTTGCAGTGCACTTTTGGTTTGCTGCTGCTTTCCAGGAATCCTTCAGCTCTCCTGAGCCCTGGATGGATGTGCACATGCACACACACACGCCCCTCCAGCTACAAGTTATGCTAAATATACTTTTCTCATGCAAGGCTCCTTCTTGATAATTGAGACAGGAGTTAACAAAATGAGCTTGCCCTATCCGCTTTCCAAATCATTAGAACTGAGTCCATGATTTAACACCTAAAGAGAAGTGTCTTGCTCGCTGAGACCAAAGGTTAATAAGCAGTATTTCTAAAGTATAAAGATGCATTTGGAGGAAGGAGAATATTTTAGTGCCGATTTTAATCGTCTTGGTTGCATATGGTACACATGAGAAGGCAGGTGTTTTCCTACTTGGGACAACAACTCTGTTTCTTTATAGGGACTGTTCTTGTCAATTCACCAATTGGCTAAATGCAGTGGTAATTTATTAGTCATCTTAGTTGACTGGTTAGAGCCTCTGACTCAGTTGATCACTCTCTGTTGAGACACTTTCCTCCCATAATTCCTGGGTACCCAAGTGTCCTTTTTCTTCTACCTCACTGATGCCTTTTTACTTTATTTCCCCAGCCTTTAAAGTAAAACCTGCAATCGAAATGCCCCCTCAGTTCCTGTATGTCTTTTTTCTCTGGCTACTTCTGGGTGGTTCCATGTAAGACCCTGAGTTTTATGTGTAGTTGCTGTGGTCATGTTTTCCTTGACCCTGGGTCTCTTATATCCAGTTTCCTTCTCCACTTTTTTTCCAATGCTGGTCACTAATAGATATTTCTAACTCAATATCTCTAAAACCCAACTCCTTTGGTCTGTCTTCCCAAGCCTCTTTCTGCCATCTTAAATGAATGATTTATTTTCCACCCTAATCAGTGATAATCCTATCCTTCGAATTGCCCAGGCCAAAAACCTTGGAGTCAGTCTTGACTCTTCATCTCTGAGAGTGATTTCTGTCTTTTCCACAGCTGTATCCCTAGCACTGAGAAGTGCTTAGTGGGCACCAATAAATAGGCTTGGAGGGAATGAAATGGTTGAACAGGTACACAGAGAGTGAATTCTGTATTTTGATGTCCAAAGATAGAAGCTTTAAATTAGGATGCTTCTAGGAGGACAGAAGCTCTTTGTTTTCTTACTCTCATCTATTCCACAGAGAAGTACGTTTTGTGATGCTCTTGAAACAATATGTTAAATGCAAATTAATGGAGATTATATAGGCTATATTTTTGGAACATCAAACAGCATGGTGATTGTTTATGATGAATATTACAATGCCATTATTTCCTTGAGATTCTGTTAATATCCCCAGCTGACACAGGCTAGGTACCCAATAACTAGTGTTTTGTTTTTTTAAAGAATGAATGATTCCTAATGTACATTTCTTTTATTTTTTTATTTTTATTTTATTTTATTTATTTTTTTAGAGAAAGTGTTGGGGAGGGGCAGAGGTAGAGGGAGAGAGAATCTTAAGCAGGCTCCACACTCAGCAAGGAGCTAGCTGCAGGGCTCTATCTCATGCCCATAAGATCATGACCTGAGCCAAAATCAAGAGTCAGATGTTTAACCAACTGAACCACCCAGGTGCCCTTCCTAATGTACATTTCAATCTCAAAATTTTAAAAGCGGGATTTATCCAGTTCTCTAAAACCTGTTTCTCTCCTTGCATTTTATAACTCTCTTAATGGTATCAGCTCCTATCTAGTTGAAGAACAAAGGTGAGGCGGCTCTCGTGAATTCTTCTGAGTCAACCCCATGTCCACCCAGCTGTAAATTCTGTCAGTTTCTCCTACATTTTGAATGTCCAAGCTCTCATCATTTTTTACTAAAGTTGCTTCTGCAATAGCTTCTTAACTTACAGTTACCTCTACTGTTCCCTCTCTTTTACATAGAATCCCTGTTTCCAGTTGAACCTGAATTTGCTGACTTGGCACATGAGTCTGTGCGTCACCTGGCCTGTCTTCCTGTCCAGCCTCATTTCTCATGACTCCTGGTGCTGCTCTCTCCCTTCTTACCCTTGCAAACTGCTCAGGTTATCGGAATTCCTTGTAATTCACTGGAAGGTCCCATGTCCTCTAACTGGTTAATTCTCAGGATGCTTCGAACATCTCATCTCAGTCCTTCACTTCGTCAGGCTGTCTTAAGAGCCTGTGCTGTTAGCCAGCTGTCCTTGTCTTTCGTTTCTCCCTCCATGTTACCGTTGTGTGTGGGACCTATGTTCTCTTCTCCGTAGTATATGTCTGTCAGTGTACCTGTCTTCATGAGGGTAGGCAATATGTGTTGTTTGCCTTCGTAGTTCCTGAGTCTTTCCCACCGTCTGTAGGAATTGAGTTCAGTGACATAGATGCTGTATTGGCCCCTTCTTCTGCTGGTGTGCTCTATTCGTGTGAGATTGTGTGAGCAAGTGAGTCTGTGTGTCTCAATATACATGTTAAAAACCTAGAAGGAACTCTTTGATCTTTACCTTGATAATAGAATTATTTTTCTGTAAGGAAACACTACATTTTGCTGTATGCTTGCATATGTTCATAGACATATGTTTACATGACATCCATTAGAGTGTTTATAGGTCATGATAATGGCCAATTACCATTAGAACTGGGAAGGGATTTTAGATAATTAACTTAAATTCATTATTTCAGCTTAAGTCAATTTTCTGTTTTTCCTTTTTTAGGAAATTGCCTATCAGGATGTTTCCTGAAAAGAATTTGGATTATTCTTTGCCTTCTTTTTCTTCAATTTCATGCTGCTGCTGTTCTGCATATATTTACTTTACATTTAAGTCCTGTTTCCTGCTAATTTTTATGCTGCTTTTTTTTTGCTGCTTTGAGTTGTCTATAATTCATGTCTTTTCCAGAAACCTAGCCACTAACACTATCTTAATTGCTCTGAATGTAGAGGAACATTATTTAAATGTTCTTTGAGATCTTTTAAAACAGCACACTATTGCTGAAAAACTATTTTTGTGGCTTCCGGGTAATGACTGGCAGGGAGGTGGAAAGAAAGCATTTTAAACTTTGTGATGTGAACCAGTTACAGCTGAATGAATGTGTACTGGTAAGGTAGCCTCTGTTTTAAGTTTATTCTTTTTTTTATTTTAAATGTTTCCCTTTTCCCTATTTATCTTCTGACACATTTCCTTCCTCCAGTTTAAATAGTCTTAAGTTTTGACAATAGAGGCATGCTGGTCAGATTTTAGTATTTAGACATCAAATACAATAATTACGATATATTTCAACCAGCAGGACCTGAGACCCCTATCGGTGTCTTAATCCAAAAAAAAGCATTTTTAAATTCATATAAACCTTGCCTTAAGGGATGGAGAAAGGGCAATTTAGGGAACAGCATGAGGTTAAACATATTGATCAGTAAGCCAGTCATTCTTGTTAGATTCTGGTAGAATGTAGACTTAGAATCATCAACAACAAAGAATATTTTGCTTCTGTAGAGACCATCTCTTTTGCTTCCAATCTTTATTGCTTTGATTATATGGATTTCAGATAATGAAAGATAGATTTCAGCCAGGGGTTAAAAAAAAAAAAAGGGGAGATCTACTTTGAAATTTGGAGTGTTAAATACCTGGAAAATACATGATTTTTACACTTTTATCATTTAAGGTACATACTAAAGGATTTAATTAGGTCTGTAATTTATTTATGCCTTCAGAATAAACATGACATATTTTATTTTTGAATGCTTGCCAAAGTGTAAGAACCATTGCTTGGGTAATTCTAATTAATTGTTCAGTGTTCCTAAGATAGTTTTTGGTTATAACAACACCGTTAACCAGATTCAGGACATTTGCTGACCTTTAAGTGTTTGGGACTTTCGGTTTCTCTTGATGAATGGCAAGTTACCATTTTATTTTAGGTAAGCATTATATATCCAATAGAGATCTATAATTTTTCAACTAGGATCTTCAGTTTTGTGTTGTATGTGCGTGGAGTGATATTTTTGGACAAGAACTTAACTTCGGGCTAGAGTGAATTTTTTATGGAATAGTGCCAGTGCCTAATGTTTCTCTCTTACTCCATAAGAACTCCCAAACAAGTGAAAAATTAAAATAAAAAAAAAAACAAAAAACCTCCACTGAAATATTTCTTGTATAATTTGTAATTGACTAAAAAAATTTACATACAGATTATTATTTTAATAGGTTCTCCTCTGAAGGAAGGTATTTGATTCTTAGAACAAAACCTTGATATTTCAGTTCTATGACTCTTTCTTTAATGTTGGAATCTGAGCCTAAGTCTCACTGCGCAATCTATTGTAGGTAGCGTGTATGCAGCTCATCAATGCCCTTGTTACATCTCCTGATGATTTGGACTTCAGGCTTCACATCAGAAATGAATTTATGCGTTGTGGATTGAAAGAGATCTTGCCAGTAAGTGCCCTGCAGTCTCCTTATTAATATTTAAATTAGAGGAGTACTTGAATAGGGGGAAATTTAGATAAATTACCTTCAAGAATAATTTATCTGTGGGGAAAAAAGGCTTGAGTATAAAAATTTGTGAAATATAGATAAGATGTGAGTATTATTTAACACTTTAAGTGTTTGAATGCTATAAATCCAGTCAAATGGTTGGTTTACTGTTTATATGTTTTTCATTAACTTTTTTGCATTATTAAAAAGAAAACCGTTGATTGACATTTCCATTTAATATCTCTAGAACTTAAAATGTTTGAAGAACGATGGCCTGGATATCCAGCTTAAAGTGTTTGATGAGCATAAGGAAGAAGATTTGCTTGAGTTCTCCCATCGCCTTGAAGATATTAGAGCTGAACTTGAATATCCTTTTGGTCTGAAATTAGTGAAATAGGAAAAACTGTTGCTAAACCCCAAACAACCAAACTTCTGAAGCTATTTCTATATAAACAATATAAAGTCAAACCTTTATGAATCAGACTGATTTTTTAAAATTTTATTTTATTGTTATGTTAATCACCATACATTACATCATTAGTTTTTGATGTAGTGTTCCATGATTCATTGTTTCCGTATAACAACCAGTGCTCCACGCAGAACGTGCCCTCTTTAATACCCATCACCAGGCTAACCCATCCCCCCACTCTCCTCCCCTCTAGAACCCTCAGTTTGTTTCTCAGAGTCCATAGTCTTTCATGGTTTGTCTCCCCCTCTGATGTCCCCCCCCTTCATTTTTCCCTTCCTACTATCTTCTCTCTCTCTCTCTCTCTCCCCCCCTCTTTTTAAACATATAATGTGTTAATTTGTTTTAGAGGTATAGGTCTGATTCATCAGACACATGAATCAGACTGATTTTTATATAAACTTATTAGCGTAATGTGTGTGTTTGAGTACATGCATATGTAAATCAACGTTACAACCTACAGATGGATTCTATTAGGCCTCGTGTGTGTGTGTGTGTGTGTGTGTGTGTGTGTGTGTGTGTGTGTGTGTACGTACACTATCTGTTTTTTCTTTTCATGTTTGGTGCCTCCCTTCCCCTAGTGCTTTCCAGCATTGGGAGTAGGGTATCCTTAGCTTGCTGGCTGGCTCCTGCCCTACACCTTGGGGGCACACTCTCGTGGGCCTTTGTTAACTCTGTGGGTCTGCAGATCTCTGTGCTTTTCCAGAAATCCACCAGGTTTCTGTCCTCCACTGGGGCTTCTCCATGGTGGATAATGCCTGGCACCAGCTCTCTTGGTAAATGCCCTCTGAAAACCTAGTATGGTATTCATAACCAGCTGCCCATTGCCCTTGCCGCCAGCAAAATCTTAGCTTGAGAGAGGCACATGGTTGGAGTTGATCATGGAGGAGAAGCCAGGGAGTGTCAGGTCAAGTTGTCATTTGCAAAATGTTTCCCTCTACTCTGAATCCTGGATACCTGTGTTTTATTTGTTGTTAAATATACATGATGCCTATTTTAGGCTAAGGCACATAATAATCTTTTGAAGCCTTACAGAGTAGATTCCATGCCATGTTATTACAGTTGTTTGGTGTCGATGATAAATAAATCATGTATTCCTTAATCAGTTCACTGAAGCATATGATATTTACAACATGGTGTGGAACTCAGTTAAGGAAACTAGAGCGGAGGGATATTTCATTTCTATTCTTCAGCATCTTTTGCTGATTCGAAATGATTATTTTATAAGGTAAGAGGAATTATTTTATAAGGTAAGAAGAAGCTATGTTCTAATGTTTTCTTTCACTAATAAAATTTTATTAATTGTGAAAATCACCTGATGTCTTATTTGGGCAAGCAAATAATTTTCAGATTTTTATTTCTGTCTTAATATTTACTCATGGAATGTGGTGTTTCTTGGCATATATTTAGACAGGTGATGGTAAAATGATATTACTGTTATGTTTTAAGCTCCAGCAGATTCTTGGTAACAAGTTTTCACCTGAATAAAAATGCGAACTTGCAACAAATTACCAATTTATCATGTGATGGATAATACATCCTGGTTAGTGTTTAGGTAGTAGGAATGATGTTGATAAGTTTCTTATAAGTTACATGAAGGGTACTAAACATTGCTTTTATTAGTGTTTAAGCAGTTAGCAAGTGCCTTGATAATACATTTTAAGTAGCTAGCAAGTGCCTTGATAATACAGTTGCGTTTAATGTTGCTAATGTATCAGAAAAGCTAGACAAATGACATTTCAAGTTTGATTATATCTTAGCCATCTTGAAGCTTAACAGATTGTTTATCCCATCTGTGTGTTGTCTATCTTTAGCTTTGTAAAGATATTAGCCCCTAAGTTGCTCGGTTTTTGTGAAGATGGAATATAATAGTGCGGGTAAATCGAGCGAAATATCTGGCACATGGTGTATTCTCAATAAATGCTCTCTATATCCTCTTTCCACTTTGTTACTGTTTTATGAGGGAAGCTGAGTTCCTTGAATATAAAACCATTTTTTGTTGCCTTTAATTTAGCTTTGCTGAAATTTCATTTTCAAATACTTCAGGTACTATGTCTTTTCTTACTCTAATTTCATGTAGGAGAATTTGCTAGACATGTCTCATTCAGGCTTTGTCCTCTGGGTGATGTCAGAGGGTGTTAATTCAGGCTTTTGATACAACTGACAAGTGAATAGAATAAGAGTCAAAAAAAAAAAAAGTAAAACTAGATTCTTTGGGATGAGTATAGATAATTCATCTTATCTCCTTTTGTAAATACTAATATAAAATACTAATACATGGGCAAAACTATTAATAAAAATACTAATACATTGATTAAAATAAAACAATACATTGATTAATATTGTTAAATATCAGAGGTACCTTTCTGCTAATTACACGAACATTTTCTCCAAATGTTCTTGAAAATAAAATTGAAACTTCCATTTGCTCTAAAGTAACCCCATTCTTTTCTTGATCCCTGTATGGTTGGTTCTGTCAACCTCTGATTGTTTGCTGCTTGATTTTTCAAGAATTCAAGAATATTGTTTGCTTTCAAAGTTTTCAATGTGTCTTAGTGCTGCCAGGGGAATTATATCTTACTTTTGATCCCTTAATTTTACCCTAATCCCTTAATTGGTGCTCCAAGAGCATATGCAGTTGTGTCTACCTTTAAAACAGATTGAAAAGCTCAACTCTCCTAGGACCTGCTCAGGCAATCCTATCACTTCAGTGGAATTAAGAGTCTCAGAAAAATATTAAACCGTAGTATCACCAGAGTGACATTAGTGAGGTATAGAAGGTTAATTATTTTGGTCATTTTTCAAGTGTCACATTTTTAATTTGATACGTAACCATGCTGCATTCTTCCTTGACTCTTTAAGCCCAAGGATCTTGGTCTTTGTTCCAGACATGGTCCCTGTGAAGGCATCCTTCTTCCTATGACTGCTGTAATCAAGACTGTTCCATCCATTTTTTCCTCATGTTCCTAAATTCTCATAGATATTTATTACTGTTATTTATTCTTCATATCTTTATTATAAGATTGAGTCACATTAGGGTCATTTACATAAGTTTTCATATATTTAAAAATTCAGCTTTTTATTTACATACAGTAAAATTTTCACTTAGTGGTGTGTAGTTCTATGAGTCTTGTTCTTTTGGTTTTAGCTTCATTTGTTTCGGTTTTCACTATCATAGGTGGACCTGGATTTTACCTTTTAGAAATCTTTTGATTATCTGAACATTTTTTTGTTTAATAAACATTCTAAACACATACTGATAAAAATTTTTAAAAGGTTTTTATAATGGCCTTATTTTAGAATGCAAGATATTCTCATTTAAAAAGAATTAGTGGATAGGGAAATTAAAGTTTGCTCACCTTCCCATTTGGAACAAGAGGAAATTTTACTGAAGTGGAACTTGATTGGAGAATGTGCATGAAAGGTAGCTCCTGGGGCGCCTGGGTGGCTTAGTCGTTAAGCATCTGCCTTTGGCTCAGGTCATGGTCCCAAGGTCCTGGGATCGAGCCCCGCATCAGGCTCCCTGCTCAGTGGGAAGCCTTCTTCTCCCTCTCCCACTCCCCCTACTTGTGTTCCCTCTGTCGCTGTGTCTCTGTCAAATAAATAAATGAAATCTTTAAAAAAGAAAAAAAAAGGTAGCTCCTGCCCCCAAGAGAAATGAAATGCAGAAAGAAAATTGACAGGTGGAGTAGAAAGTCAAATTCAATTCTGTAACAAATATTCAATGGCTTACATGTGCAAAATATTAGGCTAGTTGAATGTGTATAGGAGATAATTTGATATTTTGTAAAAGTACTAAAGAGCAAGTGAAGGGTGCCTGGGTGCCTCAGCTGGTTAAGCGACTGCCTTCGGCTCAGGTCATGATCCTGGAGTCCCGGGATCGAGACCCTCATCGGGCTCCCTGCTCAGCGGGGAGTCTGCTTCTCCCTCTGACCCTCCCCCTCTCATGTGCTCGCTCGCTCTCTCTCTCTCTCTCTCTCTCTCTCGCTCTCTCAAATAAAATCTTAAAAAAGCAAGTGAAGATTTTAAAATTCCTCCAACAAAAATGATGTATCAGTGAAGTAATGACAATTTATATTCATCCCTTAATTAGGTTATTCACATTTTCTTCTGACATATTCACTAACTCACCAACATAGCTCATGGAGATTTTCTATATTTATATTTCTGGAATCCAGAAGTACATTATTTTTTTGCTAGTGTTGCCTTGAAAGGTTTTGCATGAAATTTCAGCTACTTTGTAAATGAGCTTATCATTGGGAGCTGTGGAGGTGAGAAAACATACTGAAATTATGATTTTAAAAAGCCACAAAATAGCGTATATTGTTAATTTAAATTCGTTCGTGTTAAAAACATACTAGGATGGGGTGCCTGGGTGGCTCAGTCATTTGAGCATCTGACTTCAGCTCAGGACATGATCTCAGGGTCTGGGATGGAGCCCCAAGTCGGGCTCTCTGTTCAGTGGGGACTCTGTTTCTCCTTCTGCCCTTCCCCCTGCTCGTGCACTCTTTCTCTCCCTCTCTCTCTCCCTCTCTCTCTCTCTCTCAAATTAATCTTAAAAAACCAACACTAGGATAATACTGAATAAGAGCAAAAAGGAATGGAATCTATCATCTCGGTTTTCAAATGTGATAGATAAGAATGTGTGCAGTTCATGTACCTTAACTGTAAATGTGGTTGGTTATTATGGCAAAGCATTAGGGAATGGGAGACTAAGTTTTTGAAAAGAGTTTAGAACATTGAGGAAAGCATTGGTAATACTATCTTGCTTTGATATGTACCCAAGAACAGTGTCTTAAAACATGTTTAGTGTATGATAGTGACCACTTGACATCTTTGCTAATGTTGCTGTGAATTTTTTTCAGTATACTGGGTCATTAGGTGTGAGGTAAGTGGATGAAGGACAAGTAGGTCATGGTTTCTAGGGAGGAGGAGCTCAAATGACTAGAGGCACCATCATGTACGCGATGAGAGGGACTGGGGTAGGAAATATGTGCTAAAAGTCACTGAGGGAAGAAATAAGTCTTAGGGGTGGCTAGGGATGAGGGACTGACTCATTGAGATAGCACCCACCCTTTCTGTCACTTCACTTTGGTTTTGTTAGTATAATCTGGGTATTTCTTTTAAATTTGTTGGCTTAAGTTTTAAGGGACATTCTTTTGCTTATAGCAAACATAGGTGGACTGTAGTGAAAATATCCCTATTGGGGAATTTTAGTTAAACTTTAATTTTTGGACAAAAAATGTTATACTAAATTTTTTCAGTTGTCTTTTGAGTAAGAAATATTCATTTGGTGTTGTATATAACTTATAGTATCAGTTTTTAATTGGACTCCACACACATTCTAAAAATAGTATACTGTATAGTTTTAAGAGCCTTTCAGAGAATTTTTTTTGGAAAAGGGTTTTGGCTTGTGTTAATAAAATGAATAGTGGTGATATTTCAATATGGTATAGTGGTAGGTTGATCTCTTTTGAGGATTGCTTTTAAGCACATATTCATCTTTTCTTTTTTATTGTTTACTAATTAATTCAAGGTTCTGACTTTTGTAAGCAAATCATCATTAAAGCACTATATATGCTAAGAGAATAAAAATTTAATATCTTAAGATCATTAGAAGGAAAGTGATGACCATTGTATTTACTCTCCTGTGTTAAATCTGACATGACTTGTTGAAACTGTACAAAGGTAAATTACCGAACTTGAAATTGAGCTTACCAAAATGCTTTGTTTTGACGTAAAGTTACACTAATAAATTGGGTGTGCATTTATTCTTTTTCTCGGTTTTAGGCAACAGTACTTCAAATTAATTGATGAGTGTGTATCTCAGATTGTATTGCATAGAGATGGGATGGATCCAGACTTCACATATCGAAAAAGACTAGATTTAGATTTAAGTCACTTTGTTGGTGAGTATTTCTTTAATATTTAAACGGAAATTTTTTTTTATCCCTTACCCTGCTGGTCATCTTTGCAGCCTTGCTTCTAATGGTGTGATCCCGTAGAGTCCTGAGGGCCCTCAGTACCCTTCTTTTCAGGGGATCCTAACAATCCTAAGATCTTATTTGCCTTTTTCCGTTGTTTTGGTACTTGTGCTGGTGATGAAAATAATGGTGGGTCAAACTGCTGGAACTTGGTTAGGAATCAAGGCAGTAAGTGACACCAAACCGTGTTAGTAGCCATCGTATTCCTCACTCTGAGTAAAGCAAAACAATAAAAACTGCTGTTTTAGTTGAGTGTCCTTGATAACTGGAAAACACTCTTTTATTAAAAATCTAACCCTCGAGTACACATTACTTTAATATCCCCTAAGACAAAACGAACTGTCTTTACACATTTAGCACTTCCGCATTCCAAAGTACAGTGAGCACATAGCTGTGTATTTGCTTAAATTGTGAGCTGAATTGGCTGATTTTTGCTTTGAAGGAATGATTGTCATGAAAAGCTAGGGCTACTCAGGCATGACTGTTTTGGCACACATGTTTCTTAAAAATGAAATGAACCAGGTCAGGGAAAACAACTGACAGAATTTGTTACCAATGATCAAATTCAAGCTTTCAAGTAAAAATTTGAGTTTTGGAAAACTTGCATCTGCTACTGTTAGCTTGATGGCTTCCCAGTACTCAAATTTGTTTCTGTTGAGATCAGTGGTGATTATTTTGATCCTATATGATGGGATGTGTCAGCATTTGGAGACTCTGCATGACTGCAAACCACTCTTTTCCACATTCCAGTGCCTGATAGAAATTCTGCGTGGGTCAAGAATTTATTGATTTTAAAATAACAGAAAACAAAATGGTCATTGATATGTGATCCCACATAGCAACTAATGTGTAAGGAGTATGTGTATGTCAAATTTTGGTGTAACATGAGAAAAGAATATCCATTATTTGAGTGAGGTGGTTTTTTCTTCATAGGATATTTGAGCCCAGGAAGAGGTATGGAATGCATAGAATGAGAAAGAAACTAGATAATATTAGTGGCACTGATAAAGAAAGTGCTTATTTCTCTCCACAGGAGAGAAGCAATTAGAAGTTCCTGGTAGTGGGAGGGACAGAGAAATGAGGAAAAACATCCTGTAAATACAAAGCAAGCTAAAATGTGGAACAATTTTGAATAGTATCTGAAAGTCCGGTTGCTTCCACCTGGCCATTAGGAATGCTTTTTCTTGAGTAGGTGAGAGGTTTAGACATTGAACCCTTGAGAAGGAAATAGACACCATGACTACTGCTTGGCTCTGTGAGTGAACCATATTTACATAGTTATAACAAGTACCTCGTATGTGTTGATCTTAAATGTTTACACAAGACTTACACAGTGCAGAGGACTTACAGAAGAGAATGTCACTGTGTTCACGTGAATAGGTGAGCGTGAAGACCTGGGGTCGGATATTAGGGTAGAGAGACGTTGGAAAGTATGGGGCACAGATAACTTCATATATTAGAGTGGAAATGAGGAGATGTTGTCTTGTAACAGAGATCAGAGTTTTAAATATTTATTTAGTGCTCCAGAGCCAGCCAATTTATAAAGCAAAATTATTAAAATAAATAGGATTAGACAAGGAACACCATTTTCATTTTCTATAATAGGAAGCTATCTATAATGTATTAAATAGATAAATCAAGAAATTATGGTATATACATTTTATTTAGAGATAGGAAGGTAACTGCCGGAAGATAAAAGAAGAACTCTAAGAGGTAGTAGTTTGGAAGTGGAATTGAGTTTTTAATATAGTGATTTGTTGTTACTGTTCATCATAAGCCTTCTGTAATGTGTTTTTAAAACTGTGTTGATTACTTTTATTTAAAAAAGGGATCAGCTACATCATGGGGAATCTTTATGAATCACTTCTGCATTGTATCCCATTGTGTGCATATATATTGTAGCTTATTTAATCTATTATCGATGGACATTTATTTCCAGATGTTGGCTAACAATAGAACATCCTTAAAGGCACAGTCCTAACAGTAGAATTGTTGGATGAAAGAAAATGCATATTTTAAATTTTAGTGCATACTACCTCATATTACCTAGTTACTCATTAGCAAAGTTCATTAATTGTGCTTCCATTACACTAGTGTAGGCAAGTCAGTTTCTCTGTGCCATCTACAACACTTGGCATTATGGATCATTTAATCCTTGCTGTGTCTCATTAAATAAAATTTATATTTTTGTGTTAGGTAAAGTGAAATACTTGTTCATATGGGTTAGCAGTTGTTAATTTTGTTGTTCCTAATTTTCTGTTCATTACTGTTGCCCGTTTTCCTAGCTTGTGTTGGATATCATCTTGTCGTCTTCAAAATATTTATGGATTGATGATAGAAACCTTTGAGTATTCTTTCTTACATTTGAACTTTCTCCTCCTCTTGTCTAATAGTTTGAAATTATAGTTGGATTTGTCTTTACCTTTCTGTTTTATGGCCTTGGTGTCACACTTGGAAAATCCTTCTCCATCCCAGTGTTAGGTTTGTGTTTTGCATATTTTATTACTGGCATTATTTCTAATTCTTTTCTGTGATTTTCCTTCTGAACTTTTAAAGTCCTAATGATTTTAAGAAGTACTGGAATAAAAAAAATTATCATTGCAATTTCAGATACTTGCATAGATCAAGCTAAACTAGAAGAGTTTGAAGAGAAAGCATCGGAACTTTACAAGAAAGTAAGTAATTTTAACTAACTTTGCAAGACTCCGTGAGGAGCCTCCTCAGGCATGCTTCTGCGTCAGGGACTTTGCTTGGTGTTCCCACTCTCTTTTACCTCCTTTAGGCAGCACAAATGCCATCCCAGAGGAGGATTTCTAGACTATTATATTTAAAAATTTTAACTCTCTACTCCCAACCCTGACCCTCTCTGTTTTCTTCTGTTGTATTCATTATCTGACATGCCCCATGGTGTATGTATTTACTTGTGTGTCCGTGGATGTATTATCTTTTTCTTCCTCTAGAGTAAATTTTAGGAAAGATTTTTGTTTTGTTTGTTTATTTGTTTGAAGGATTTTGTTTATTCACTGTCCCTGTACCTAGAACAATTCCTGGCCCTCAGAACTTAAAAAAAAAAAAATGTGTGAATGAATAAATGAACGAAATGTTTAGAGTCAAAGTTTTAGGATTGGAGTATTTCTCAAGAACTCCTGTAACTTAGGCCCTTGAGATCGAAATTATGTGTAAAAGTTTTAAAAAGAAAGGTTAATTTTTGTTTTGAGTAAAGTTGCTTCCTTAGATCTAATTGAACATATAAAACTGTCATTTTTATAGGTGAAAAGTATCCGATATTACCAGTTCTGTTTGTTTCCTCCCAGTAGTAGTGCTGACCATCCAGCCGTTCCCTACTTTTCTTTAAGGTGGGGTTCTGCGGTTTCATCTCTGTTCAGCATGTACCTGTTAGAATTTTTCTCTGTTTTGAAAAATTTACATTTCTTCACATTTTAAGTAGTCACTCTGATTTAAATTCTTGTGGCTGGTTTCTCATATCGGAGGAATAAATGATAATTACTACCACCACCTGAATGAACGTACACTAAATTAACATTTACTATGTGTTTGGTACCATGCCTGAGAGGCTACATTTTTGATCTATCTGGACCCAGATTAATCTTGAAAGAATTGTACATTTTTATAACCTTTTAGGATAATATAACTTGCAAATGGTAGACAGTCTTTCATAAGTTACTGGGAATTTATGAAAAACTTTGTAAATGTCCTGTATAAGAAGTCCTGAGGTTCACCATTTAGTGAGAGATGATTAACTCTGGGCCTCTGGCTGCAGACTAGGATTACAGCTATGAATATGATATTGCCCTGCACTAATGTAGGAGACAAATTAATGGATCATTTAAGTTAAGTGTCATATGTGTTATAGTTGATAGGTGATCGTGTTGAAGGGTGACCCCTCTCCCTGACCTTGTATTCCAAGCTCTCTACTTCTCTACTGTTTTAACTCTTCATGAGAAAGTAGCAGCAAACTTTCAAGTACTTGATTTGATTTGGATGCATCCCAGATAGTATAAGTTTGCTTTTATAATCATTTTTAGGTATAAGGTATACATGAATGTTGTTAAACGTGATACCCTTCTCAACATACTGTCTTAAAATTGTAAAGTTTAAGTGTAAGTAGAAGAAGGACCTTGTTCAAGGTTACTTGTCTCCTTTTAGTCAGAAGTTATATGTCTTCAGTATATTCAGAAAATGCTGTTTGCTCCATAAAGGATTTCTATTGCCATACCATTTTGTATATATCAGCAAGAACTTCTTTCTGATGGCTTTATAAGGACACATGTAAATACTTTGCTTTAGGCAGGAAGCTATCATAGTTGCTAGACACATTCTTTATTTTGGTGCATGAATTTGAAAAATGAAGACCAGAAATGTCAGAAAGTACATAGAGAATATTGAATTATCAACCTTCTTGTACAGATGCACTGATACATTTACCCTAGGGAATGAAATTAAGCAGAGCCTCAGCCTTAACTGTGTTTCTTGACATTTTTGCGTGTAATTTTGTAAGTGTAATATTGCTCCAGTAACTCTTCTTAGAGAAGAAGGCTATCATGTCTGTTTTTATAAAGTATGTCTTTAATGGAGATTCATTTTATCCCCAAGGCTACTGTGATTTGACTATAGATATTATAAAAATGCTAAAGCAAAGTTTATATTTTGTCTGATTCTTTTAATAGGGTAGGATGTAGAAATTCCTCTCTTTGTTAAGTAATAGAGATACTTTAAGGCCAAGTTAATTTAATAAATTCTTTTAGAGTATACTCATTATGACTCTGGTAGTTTTGGTAGTTTTATCTTTGTTCCAATAAATAATCGTTTTTCCTTCCAAATCTTATTCTAAGCCATATGAGATAAGATAGTGTACATATTGATATTGTGAAAAAGACTTCATTTTTACTCTCATAAGAATTTAATTTTTTATTTCTTGCTAAGCAGCAGTAAACATTGAGCAGTCATAAAAGGGAGAATAGAGAACATGACCTCTCAAAGATTTTTCATGCTGGGAAATTGAGGAACTTTAATATATGATATTGACATATTTATTCACAACATATAAAAGGAGATTTGACAGGAATTGGCTCCATCTGTTCATTCAAGAAATATTATTTGAGTTTAGTTATAAATGTAAGGCTTTGGAAAGGTGATGAATAAAATATTCAGCTCACTATTAATAAGCTTTCAGATTGGTGAATGTTACTGAGGTGTGTGATAGTGCATTTTGATATTTTTATATGACAGTGTAATAACTGTTAATAACTGTTACGGTAGTTAAACCCAATGCTGTGTGTAAGCCTATAGAAAGGATTTCTCATCTAGTCTTGGGTGGTCAAGGGAGGCTTACCGAAGGAAGTAATGGCTAATGTGAGGCAGCAAGCTGAGGTAGCCAAGAAGGAGGTATATGGAAATTTACTGTGAAATTCTTAGAGGCATTTCAAGGTTAATATTTCTGAAACCGAATTCATTTTTCTTTTCCCTAAAAATGCCCTTTCAAGAGTACCTGGGTGGCTTTGTTACTTAAGCCTCCGACTCTGTGATTTCCGCTCGGGTCATGATCTCGTGGGTTGGGAGAGCTAACCCTGCTTTCTTGAGCTTTACTCTCAGCGGGGAGTTTGCTTGAGATTCTCTCCCTCTGCCCCCTCCAACCCCGCTTTCTCGCTTTCTAAAATAATACTTGAAAAAAATGCCTTTCCCCATGTATTTTATATCCCTATTCCCCCCTAAAATTCTAATATTTAGTTTCCAGCTTGCAAAGCAATAGAATACCATAGTCATCTTAGACATGCTTCCCTCATTCATTTCCTATGTTCAGTCATAAACTAATTTTTTGGATTCTGTTTAAAAAAAAAACAAAAACCTCGTTTCTTCTTTTTTTTTTCCCCCCCCGTTCCTCTGTCTTCAGTTCTTGCTTGGATAACTGCAGGAGCCTCTAAACTTGTTTTCATGCCTCTGGTGTTTCTCTTTCATTCGACCTTCCACCCTGCTGCAGGTTGGGTTTTCCAAAGTGCAGATTTGATTGTGTTAATTTCTTGTAAGTACTCTTAATAACTCTCCTTGGTTTTCAGGCAAAAGGGAAACCTTTTTGGCTTATTGTAAAATTCCTTTGAACAATTTCATTCCTGTCTACATCAGTGACTTCATCCCTGGGGCGCCTGGGTGGCTTAGTTGGTTAAGCGACTACCTTTGGCTCAGGTCATGATCCTGGAGTCCCAAGATCGAGTCCCGCATCGGGCTCCCTGCTCGGCCGGAAATCTGCTTCTCCCTCTCACCCTCCCTCCTCTCATGCTCTCTCTCTCATTCTCGCTCTCAAATAAATAAAAATCCTTATTAAAAAAATGACTTCATCCCTTGCAATTTCTTTTCCTCCCTCCTTTTATGTCCCTGATACATGGTTGCTTGTCATTTACATGCTAGACCCTGTGTTTGAAGTGTCAGCTCCCCTTCCCAGCTAACTACTCAAGTTCTTTAAACCTGGGATCAAGCATCATTCCTCTAGGAATCACTCTCTGCAGTCTCTTTTTCTATTGTGGTAATTTTCATAGATTTTGGATTATTAGTCTTACTTTGGATTATTAGATTTTGGATTATTAGTTTTACTTTGCCACCAGACACTACACTTACTAAAAGCAATGACTGTATTCTATTCAACTTTATGTCTAGCACCTACCACTTTGAGGAACACATCAGACACATTCTTTTACTTGCTGTCTAATGGGAATTAGGTAGTCTGGGGTGAGTCCTAGGAGGTTCCTAGATATTAGGTTAATGAGTGTAGCCTTTAAATGTAGCCACTGAAAGTTTAAGAGCAAAAGGAGTCCTGTTTTTTGAGCCAGTTCTTTAGAAAGAATAGCAGTATTCAAAAAAGTTTGTAGGGGGGAAGATAATACTGGTTTTAAAAAAATACTCGTTTTTTTTTTTTTTTTTTTTGCCTTGAGAAATGTTCATTAAGCATTTGAAATACATTTATGGACTCATTAGCTGTGTGGAATTTAGATGAGAAGCTGAGCTGGTAATAGGGATTTGGACGCCATCAGTGTATGAATGGGGATTGAAGCATGTGGGTATGGAAGATACCATTCCACCAGACATGAGAAGTGAGACCAACAGAGGGGTGAAGAAAGAGTCCTATAACATGGAAATGTTAGAAGGTGGGACTGAGGAATAGGAACTATAAAAGAAACAGTCAAGGAGTTAGTAGGAGAACCAAAACAGTGTGTTGTAATGGAACACACTGGTGCACAGAGATGAATATGGGGGCAAATTTGCTTACACTAAATCATGGGGGAGGCAAGACCTATGGGGGGG